AAAAAAATAAAAATCAGGTCGTGTGCATTGTCATATTGAACTTTTTTGTTAAATAAACTTTTATAATAGTCAAAAATAAATAAATAAATGTAAGGATCACGTAGTCTTTGTAAGGCTGAGAGCGTTCAGATAATGTTATGACTGAATGTTTGTGTCCTCTGCCCCCCCCATTCCTATGTTGAAGCCCTAACACCCCACGTGATGGTATTTGGAGGTAAGGCCTTTCAGAGGTGTTTTGGTGTAAATTACCCTGAGGATGGGACCCACGGGGTAGGATCAGTGCCCTTGTCAGAGAGTTTTCTTCCTCTTCCTCTCTCTACCCCGTGAGGAGGCCCAGCCAGCAAGGGAGCCCTCACGGGGAGCCTGGCCGGCCAGCAACCTCATCTGAGCCTTGCCAGCTGGTCCAGCCAAGTGTCTGCTGGTCCAGCCGCTCGGTCCACAGTATTTGGTGACACCAGCCCGAGCTAAGGCAGAAAGGTAAGAAGAAAATTTAAAAACCCAGACTGGAAGCTCTGGCACTGTCTAAAACAGCTTGAGTACTTTGGGGAGCAGAGGAATGAAAGAGAATGGGGTATCTCTCCATCTTGGCTTCAGACACCCTGAGGTGGTTTTTGTTTTGTTTTGTTTTTTTCTTACCGTGGGAAAAGGCAGGAGGGGATCAAGGTCTCGACCTGACAACTGGCTGGATGAGCATCAGCCGCCGCGGGCCCGCCTGCCAGGTCCCCCATGGCCAGTCTGGTGCTGCGACAGCCAAGTCCAAGGCCACCGCCCAGGGGCAGGACCTGACAGCAGGCACCTGGCAAGCCTACGTTTCCGCGCTCAGCAAAGAGGCATCGGAAGGCTCACTTATGTTCACCTTGGAAATCCGGGCTTATCAACCCGCCGCCCCAGTCTGCCAAGCAGCGGGAGCTCACTCACAGGGAAACCCAAGAGCTGTCCACCCCCCAGTATCTTCCCCTCTTGCGTCACCTTGGCTGTCGGAAGCAGAGAGCCGGGAGGAAATACCCAGCAGCAAATAATGTGACAAAATATTGACTCTGGCCATTAAAAGCCTGCAACTTGCTGAGGGGACTTGAGAAGCAATTAAGCAATCAGGGGAAAGGAAGGTCTCCTCGCCTCCTGCTGTCTTGAGGGTATGATTTACAGACTAGGGAACCAAATCACCTCTGCTCTTCCCCAACCTGCTTTTACACTTCGGTTCTGTCCAGAGCTCCATCTGCCAATCTGGCTGTCGTTCGTCTCTCCTCTTGTCCTAGCAGACTCCCGGGAACACACTGCTCTTGCTGACTCAGAGGAGCCCAGAGGCGTCCCGGAGGTTTTCAGGGTCTGTTGCTTTACCAGGCCTGGCTCCCTCTTCGGACCGCCCCCTTTGTTCTACCTAAATATTCAAGACGAAGTTTAAGTGAAGGCTTCTCCAGCCTTCTAGCCTCTAACGGACCGTTCCTTTCTGAACTCTGGAGCCCTGTATTTCCTGCACTCTCGGCAGTGGGTAGCGCATGCTGCACTGTGCTGGTATTTAGTTATGCACCTACGGGTGCTGTCGGGAGCTCCTGTCTTCCCACAAATGATACCGTACCCGGGTCGTACTGTCTCTTTAAACATTTCAGAGGTCCTTTCAGAGGTCCAAGGAGGCCTAGGCCACTGCCAACTTCAGGGGCCTTCAACCATACCTTATTTTATTTCATTTTTTTTTTTTTTAAGATTTATTTATTTTAGCGTGCGCAAGCCAGGGGAAGGAGCAGAGGAAGAGGGAGAGAGAATCTGAAGCAGACTCCCCACTGAAGATGGAGCCCTACATGGGTCTCAATCCCAGGACCCCGAGATCATGACCTGAGCAGAAACCAAGAGCCAGGCACTTAACTGACTGAGCCACCCAGCTCTCCCCCAAAATAATTTTAAATGACGATAAGTGGAAAGGAAATAGATCTTTAAAAATTCCCACCAAAAAAAAAAAAAAAATTCCCACAGTATTTTCCTAGTTTTTTTGTTCTGTAAAAATGCTCTCTTTTCTCAACAAAATGCAGCTTTTGTGTAATGTCAGAATTGCTTTCAAATACAGGAAGCAATTCAAATGCCAAACTATTAATAAATGTAATCTCTGTGTATGTGCCCCGTGTGTGTATGGGTTCTTGCCCACAGACCGGGTCTCCGTATACAGCATGTCTGCAGACCTCTCACCAGAGCCTGTGGAAGACGAGGGAGTTCTCATCTTACCCAACACTGGCACACTGATGAGTTTTCAGTGAATTTAGCAAACTTTCACTTTTAGCCTCCTTTATTCCCCATCTGCCAAGTGAGGTCATTCCTACACTTGATATGCTGCTCTAAGGTTGAAAAGAAATACTGGTACACATTTTCCTGATGTCATGGGTAAAAGGTCATCACATCCTTCATAAACATTCATTTTAGGGCCACAGGAGACCCCACGATACCCGTCTGTACTGCAACAGTTTGCAAGACCTTGCTCAAAGACCTGCTCCTATGCAGCCTGAACGGGCCGCTCCTGATGCCAGCCCACAGAAGCTTGTCTGACGATGGGAACTGCCAGAGAGAAGATACTTTTGAAAAAGCCCAGCGTTAGAATTGCCTTCACCAAATGTGAGGCAGGGTCTATTCTTAAGATTCTACAAATAAGTTATCATGTGATATTAAAACTTCTAAAACCAATGCCAACACCCTCTTGGACTTGAAAGCATCGTGGACGGGCAGCACACGAATGGAGATGTGCGCTATGTGGCTCAGAAGCTCTGGATTTGAACTCAGCTCTCCTACTAACTAGCTGTGTGACCTCAGGCAAAATCATTTCCCATCTCCAAACCTCTGTTTCCCCTTTTGGCAAAATGAGGCTGGTGGTAATATCGGTTTGATGTGTGAGGCGCACCCAAGACGATAAACATGAAAGCACTTTACGGTTTGAATGCCGGTTACTTAATAGTACACATAAGACTGGTCTGCTGCAGGGGTTCCCAGGCGTGAGGGTGCATCAGAATCCCCAGAGGGCTTGTTAAAACCCAGACTGCCGGCATCCACCTCTGGAAATTCTGATTCCGTAGGCCTGGTTGGTGCCCGAGAACTGGCCTTTCTAGCAAGTTCTCAGGTGATGCCCTAGCTGCTGGTCTAGGGACCCCTCTCTGAGAACCACCGCTCTGCTGCCTTCCCAACCATATTCCATCTTACCGCATTATGAATTCCTTAAAGCATAATCTCAGCTTGTTGTGATGTCGATAGAGCTTTGGGTCAGCTGGAATTTCGGCCAAGAACACTTGGGCTACTTCCAGTGGTCCCTGATGGAAAAAGGAACAGAACAATAGGACATTGGAAAGAAAATTAAATTACTTGGGAGAAAATCTTGGATTGACTTCTGAGTTTGGACGTTTAATTCTGTAGGTAGTGTGACCAAGACAAAAAAAATCAAGGAAGGTACTGAACTTCTCAGGAAACTTTGATCTCTTAGGAGTCTGGACATTTAGGAGAATACTCAGAAGTATAAATGTATTTTCTTTTTTTAAAAAAGATTTTATTCATTTATTTGAGAGAGGGAGAGAGAGAGCAGGAGTGGAAGGGGCAGAAGGTGAGGGAGAGAGACAGACTCCCCGCTGAGCAGGGAGCCCGACGCAGGGCTCAATCCCAGGACCTGGAGATCATGACCTGAGCCGAAGGCAGATGCTTAACGACTGAGCCACCCAGGTGCCCCCAAATGTATTTTCTTAATCAAATGTTCTACTAATAATAGGCTCTTCTTTGTATGTAAAGGTAATACTACTGCATCACAGGGTATGTGATCTGAGTTGCTTTTCTAAAATTGAGGATTGTCTTGATTCATCCTTTCATATCCACTTATTTAGTTGCCCTAGTCATGGCACCATTTTGTGTAATTGCTGGCTTGTGTCAGAGATATGCACAGTACATGGTTATGGGCTCACAAAGTCTTCCATTTTCATCAAAGGACTGGGACTTAAAGCAAAACTTCCTAATATTTTCTGATCTTGGAAATGTAACAGTCATTTCTCCTCTGTGCTATTTCTGTTCCCTTGATATTGTCTGGACACACTTTTTGCAGGGAAGTCCAGGTGTGGTGAGTGAGGAAAAAGTCATGATACTCACTGGGTTTTTGAGTGGAGGTGTAGACAAGAGCAGATCTGGATCTGAAATTAAGGATGCCCACTGGACAGAAAGTATGAGGCTAGCACCTCCCTGTATCTGAGACTGGTTTAGTTACATGCGGGTTTGGGAGTAAGGATTCTAAGGGGTTTGAGAATATCCAGTTTGGTCTGAGGTGCCCCAAGAAGCCTGGTCCCTGGTCACTCCTGGCTGGCAAGGCCCCCGGCATGCTGGATTCATCTGGTGACTGACCCAGGGGCTGCATGTCCTAGACCCTTTCCCTTCTCTCCTGCAGACATTCTTAGATTGGCCTCAAGCTCTGCAACAACCTTGCCTACATAGGGCATGACTAAGCCCTCTGCAATAGGAGCCAGATCTGGAGCATGCTGCCAGGTCTGGCCTCAAAGTGAAGACCTCTCTGTGAAAATGGTGCCCCTTACACATGGTCTACTCATGGCTGGGACTTCTTTTCTTTCTTTCTTTTCTTTTTTTTTTAAAGATTTTATTTATTTATTTGAGAGAGAGAGAGAGCACAAGTGGAGTAGGGGCAGAGGGAGAGGGAGAAGCAGATTCCCCGCTGAGCAGGGAGCCCAATGCAGGGCTCGATCCCAGGACCCTGAGATCAGGACCTGAGCCCAAGGCAGGGGCCTAACCGACTGAGCCACCCAGGTGCCCCTGGGACTTCTTTTCTACCACGGTTGTTATGTGAAGAGCCCTCCTCAAAGTCTTCTAAACCTCACAAGTGTTGGGTCTAAGTTCAGGGATACCATTTATGTGTGGATCAGACTCCTCATCAACCTTAAGGAAGGAGGTGTAGACATATAATGAAAACCCAAGTAACAAGGACCAGAGGAGTTGCCGGCAGCCAGTCTTGCTCACCTGATTTACAGTAGCTCCGACGGAGCCCTGCAACACCATCTGAAGCATCTTGGCATCAGGGGGCTCCTGGTTAATGGCAACCGCTAACTGCAGGGTCTTCTTCTTCATATCCTCAATGGCAACTTCAATTGGTGTCAAAACAAACTGAACACAAGACAGAAGTACAGGGAAGTCATTGTCTAGTCTTGGAAGCCATGGACAAACCTGGGGCTATGACGGACCGGATTTGAAGAAGCAGGTAAGGATACCTTCAGAGTATTTAAAATATTCTGGATAGATTAAGAGGAAGGAAAGGCCTAACATTTCTTGAACACTTACTGTGTTCGGGGAACTTTGTGGACATTTCTCATGGACTCCTTTAAACAACCTACGTATTCTCTCCATTCTACATCCAGAGAGGGATTTGTAAGGTTCAGGAAGTGCCACCAAATGACACAGGGTAGTAAGGAGGGAGCTCAGAATTTGATCACAATGATGTCGACATTCAAAATCCATGTTCTTTCTACCCTGTTAAGTTTCCTTACCAATTATTAAACAAGTTACTTGACTTGTAATTGGAGAAGGTACGAGCACAGCACTCAAGATTTTTGTTTCCGCCATAACACATGATTTTGGCATCATGTGTACCTTCTCCAACTCAACCTGAAGATGAATTCCTGATTAACAGAATTCTCTTAAGGGTCAATCTCTCGGTTGCCAAGTTCTGCAGGTTTGGGGTAGGGTCCTTCTTAAATGTTGTAGGTGGAGTTATCCTCCCCACCCCACCCCCCCACTTCATATACTGAAGTCCTAATTCCCAGTACCTCAGAATGTGACCTTACTTGAGATAGGGTCTTTATAGAGGTAATCAAGTTAAAGAGAGGTCATTAGGATGGGCCCTATATGATGGATGTCCCTATAAGAAGAGGAAATTTGGACACAGAGACACATGTTGAGGGAGAGAATGTGAAGACACAGGGAGAAGATCATCATATACAAGCCAAGGAGGGAAGCCCAGAACACATCCATCCCCCACAACCCTCAGAAGGAACCAACCTTGCCAACGTCTTAATTTGGCCACTAGCCTCCGGAACTATGAGACAATACATTTCTGCCATGTCAGCCATGCAGGCCGTGGTCCTTTGTTACAACAGTCCTAGTGATCTAACACACTGAGGTTCTCGGGAAAGGGAGATATGGCCAAGAAATGCTGTGGGGATTCTTACTGGAACCATGAGTTTATTTCTGTCCTATGCCTACCTGTCCTAGTGTTCAAAAGTCTAAAACAATAAGAAATATAATAGATGCCTTCTAAACCAACCTCTTCTTAACTGAGTCACTCAGCCTGGATTTCTCTCATGTCCGTGAAGCTCACTCTCTGATGTGGTTGCTGACACCCTAGCCAATGGGCAGTGAGCTCAGTCACTTCTGCTCCTGCCCCATGAGGCATCCGTTCACAGCTCAGCTCTGCGCATTCACCGACTTGATGATGCCTGTTATGCTTGTTATTTTAATGACCTCATCTAATTAAGTAATGCACAAACTGATGAACTGTGGGTGTGGAAAGAAACAGAACTGTTTCTATGAACACGAAGCTGAATGCTGGGGCAAGATATCACAAAAGTGAGTTGCTATAAAGATTCCTGCCATATTAGGTGTGTGCAAGACAACTGTAAAAGGCTAGGGGCAAGCAAGTCATAATAATCCAGAAGGACTCTGTCCTCATATTGTTTAGCAAGTATCTTTAAGCTCCTCCTCTGCTATATAGAAATAAAAACTGAAAATTATGGACAGTGTATTAAGGGTGGGGCTTATACTAGAAAGACAATGCTGAATTGTGACCCGCCAACCCCAAATCACAGGGAAGGCTGGGGCCTTATATAAATTGAATGACAAATAAATGTCCACATACGTATTTTAAAGTAAAATAAAATGTTTGTACTATGTCTAGTTTTGAGACGCTTTCTTGATCAGTCCTCTTACAATGGATTCAAAGTCTCCTACTGTACAGAGAACCAGAGAAGAGAAAGGGGTCCTCGCTGTCAGTGTATAGATGAGAAAAGCTGAACGAAAGTAAGTGTCTTGAGCAATGTCACAGGAGGAATTTGGGACTAGAAGTCAGTTGGTCTCCTTGCCTATCTTGCAGGGGGCCCTTCTTCCAGCTCGCCACCAACTTGTGGGGCTACTTGCTTGCTATTCCTCGTCTCTAATAACTAATAAAACAACTCTGTCTGAATCACCTGTAAGCTTCCAAATATATAAAAATTCAATATAAAATATTTAAATTTTAAATATGTATTTCAAGTAAGCATGTCATGAAAATAAACATGTTAAATATTTTAATTTTGTCATTCTATTTATGTTAAAGATACAACTTCAAAATATAAAATATTTAAATATAAAGTAATGCTATGAAGTGCACGGCTGCCTAAATGGGATTCCCTGGCACCACGACAGTCAGAGAATAACCACCACGATAGTATTTCCAGTGTGTCCCTTTTTTTGGTTTTCTCTCCAGTCTGCCAGGAAGGAGCTCGGAGGAGGTGTGAGTGTCATCCTGGGAGGGAGACTCAGCCATTCAGTGGTGACCTCAGTCCTGAGCCCGCTGGCTCCAGGGGCCATTACCTCTTCCTTCTGGATGACGCTGATCCTGGTCTTGACGTAGGGGAAGGCGTGCATGGTGGTCAGGATGGTGTTCCGCCGGTATTGCTCATGCAGCTCCCCCCGGGGCCGCCCCTCCAGGGTGAAGGGGGTGGTGTACATGAACCTCCGCAGATTGAAATTCTTCTCAAAGTAGGTTACCCTGTCTTTCATCTCATACTCATCAAAGTAGGGCTCCACAAACGTGATCTGTATGTAGGCCTGAGGGGGAAAAGGTGGGGGAAGGAGGAGATGATCTCGTCTGCAAGCCACCACCCAGGATGCACTGGGGAGGCATGTTGGGACACAGCGCCCTGCACCCACCCTGTGTGCACCCCAAGGCCACAGAAGCTGAGTGCATCAGGCCAGACGTCAGCCATCCCTGCTTTGCCCCCCCAGGGAGACGAAGGGCTGTGGGCGAGAAGGACAGGGCAGCGTGCCCATGTGAAGTCAGGTCTCCCAGCTGCCCCTCCAAGCTGACCTCACTGGTCCAACTGAAACTTGGTACGAAAGTTCACGAACTGCTATTCAGAACAGACAAGCTTTCCTTTTTGGAGCCCCCATGACCGCTACCCACTTAGAATGGCCAGACTGAAGGCAAGTGACAGTCCTGAGCACGGCCAGGGACGGAGAGGTGCTGGAACTTTCACACACCGATGGTGGGAGTGGAAAGTGGGACAGCCCCTTCTAACATAAGGCTAGCTGTTTCTTACACAGATAGATGACACTGGCCATATGACCCCGCAATCCCGCTCTGACGTGTGCATCCATGAGAAATGCAAACTTACGTCCACACAAAAACCTTGCACACGATGTCTACAGCAGTAGAATTCATAATAGACAAAAACTAGAAACAACACAAACATCCCTCCAGCGGGGAACGGATAAACAAATGATGGTACAGCCAGTTGACAGATACGACTCTGCAGGACAAAGGAAGAGAAGGACTACCTCATGGAGGAATTTCAGATGCACTGTCCGCAGTGACAGAGCCAGACTCAAAGGACTGTGAGCTTGTGCTTACTAGGCTAGGGTTCCATTTACGTGACCTTCTGGAAAAGGCAAAAAACTACAGGGACAGATGGCAGATCAATGATGGTCAGGGGCTCAGAGCAGAAGGAAGAGGCATGGGGAGATATTTGGGGGTGATGGAACTCTTCCTGGTGGTGGTGACACTTGTTTGTCAAAACTCAGAGAATTCAACATCAGAAAGGTGAATTTCACTGCAGGTACCTCCTTTAGAAATGCATGCACGCCCCCGATGTTTATAGCAGCAATGTCCACAATAGCCAAACTGTGGAAAGAGCCAAGATGTCCATCGACAGATGACTGGATAAAGAAGATGTGGTATATA